AAGGTTTACTGTATTGCCACCAAGCCCACATTTAAAAAAACTAATCCTTGGCCGCATGTGGTGGCTCACACCTGTAATCCTAGCACTCTTGGAGGCCAAGGTGGGAGGATGGCTCGAGGTCAGGAGTTCAAGACCGGCCTGAGCAAGAGCGAGACCCAGTCTCTACTGAAAAAAAATACTAGAAAGAAAGAAGCCGGACAACTAAAAATAAATAGAAAAAATTAGCTGGGCATGGTGGCGCATGCCTATAGTCTCAGCTACTCAAGAGGCTGAGACAGAAGGATCACTTGAGCCCAGGAATTTGAGGTTGCTGTGAGCTAGTCTGATGCCGCAGCACTCTAGCCTGGGCAACAGAGTGAGACTCTATCTCAAAAAAAAAAAAAAAAAAAGGATAAAAAATAATCCTTCTAGTTGGACTCTGATCACCTGTGATAAGAAAAAAACATTGAAAGAGGAGAGCTGCCTCTAATCAGCGAAACAGGGAACATTAGGTGCAGATTCTCCATTCTACACTAACACCTGCATTCTCCTCCTTTGTGGATCCAAGTTTCTTTGAGATATCGGAGCCCAACAAAGGAAGAAGGGAGCTGCAGATCCCATTTTGCTTAACTGAGTAACTTGTTCCACATGGGTTTAATTACCCACGTGGGTTTAATTATCCACGTCCTTTCTCACCAATAAGCCTCATCCCATCTCCACCTCCGACATGTTGAAAGAATGTTTTGTTCATGGAAGAGAAAAACCATGACAAGTAGTTATGAAGAACCAAGATCAAAGAGCTCAGCAAGCAAACCAATTCCAGTCCTGTCAAGATGCCTTAGCCTAGATTCACAGAGTCCTCCAACTGCTGATCCTGGCCTTCCCTGAGCAAGGAAACTGCACAGTTTGAGCAAATCACCAACACTAGGATAGCCTCTCACCAGCATGCTCACAAATGTATGAATTTGCACATCTGTTCTAAACAGGCGCCAGCACAGGCTGTGAGGCAATCCTGTCTAGCTGGGAAGGCTTCAGATCAGGAAATTATAACAAGAGTAATAATGACCCATCAAAGTGCTATTGTCCCTCCAAAGACTGACACTCATGCCAGCAGAGCCATCATCACTGTGACCTTGTTCAATGTAGTAAAGCCGGGCCCGAATCAGCTCAAGTAGAAGGGACAATACTATATTACTACAAGTCCAACTTCACATGTCACTAAGATTGGCAACAGAAAGTGGCCAGCACCTGCTTAACACTGATATTCAAGGTGGCTGTTCCCATGGTGAGCTGTGTGTCTAGCACTGCACGACCCCCTCCCCCACCATCCCTTTCAGTTCCTCAAGGTCAGGAACCAAGTCTTATTTGTCTTTAAGCCCCCAGCACATAGTCGGTCTCAAATAAATATCTGGTTAGTGGAGAGCCAGAAGAAAAATCTCTTTTCCCTTAGCTCTGTATATCATTCAGTTGTGAGTTTCAGGTAGAAAAATCAACAGAGAGCTTTTCCCACAGCACCTTTGCAGAGTTAAGTTAGCTTCCTCCCAGGAGCTGCACATCAGGAGGACAGAACTTCAAGGCCTTGTCAGATAAAGGAGGTCTTTAGGGAGTAGAGCTACCCAGAAAGCGTTTTGCATAACAATACACTCACTGGTTTTAACAGAGCACTTTCCCCCCAATTCCTTATGGATTCATTAGACTGACAGCTTGACACCAGCATGTTGCTGCCTGTTTTCTATCCAACACAGACTGCACGAGAGCCTCATGTATTTATCCCCCCGTGAATTTCTAAGCAACTATGTAAAAACAAAATGCTCAGAAAACAAAGAGAAGATGCTTCGTTGAGTTATTTTACTCAAATACACTAACTATCTCCTTTCTGCCCTCCTCCCAGAATATGCCCTACTCTAATTGGGTATATTTGGTTTTGGTTGTTTTTCTTTGTTCAAAGAGTTTGAATTGCAACAGCTTCTTTTCGCTTATTAAAGAAGGCTGTGCTCTAAGTCTGGTGCCATGGCACGTTCCTGTAGTCCCAGCTACACAGGAGGTCGAGGCCCGAGGATAGCTTGAGTGCAAGAGTTCAAAGCTAGCTTGGGCAACGTAGCGATACCTCCTATCTAAAAAGAAAGGACAAATTAGCCAGGTGTATATACTGTGCACACCTGTAGTCCCAGCTACTTGGGAGGCTGAGGCTGGAGGATGGCTTCAGCCCAGGAGTTAGAGTCTGCAGTGAGCTATGATCCTGCCACTGCACTCCAGCCTGGGCAACAGAGCAAGACCCTGTCTCTCAAAAAAATAAGGGCAGCTGTATTCTGGGTCAATGCCACTCAAAGTGCTGGTCCTTGAGAAAATAAGGAGAGAATGTAAACCAATGCATTGTTTCCTTCTTCAAAAAGTCTTGCTATGAAAAAACAATATGCCAGCTCAACTAACAGTATAGTTAGTGTTGAAGGTGATCTCATGAACAGGTAACAAGGAGTTCAAAAACTGGCACACCTGTGAATCATAGCTTGTGAAGCATTGTTCTAGGTTACAGAACGTCCCACCTGCCTGAGAGTGTACTAGATTGACATTTACAATGGACTTTTGAGGGATTTTGGCCACCTAGCATCCATATCCCTTTTTTGGTAAAGCGCCCCAATACTGAAGATCCACCATACCCTCTGCTCAGTCTATGGGATCTGGGCAGAGGTCCTGTATATCTAGGGCTCCAAGTCTCTCCAACCACAGTGAATGGTGCAGGGAAGCCATGGTCCAGGGCAGCCAATCAACATAATTCCATCCTCCTGGCTTGTTTTCAGACCAGGGATGGGCAGTGGCCCTGACTGATCCAAGCACAGTGATGCCTGGAATTCCTGCAGGAGCTACCAGGAAGACAGTCTCTTTCTATGAAAAATGTCAGGATGTGAGCCTGGAGTTAATACCCATGAAAGGAGGGCATAGCTGTAAAACAAGGCAAAGACAGAGAGCAGAAGTGAAAAGCAAAGAGAGAAACTGGATTCTGAATATGTCATTGTAACCTCTGGATCAAGCCATGCCTGAACTCTGCTTCTACCCTATGATTTTTTAGTTATATGAACCAGTAAGTTTTCCATTGGCTTAGAGTAGCTTTCATGCTTTCTAATACTTGCAAATGAAAGAGTCTAAGGCTCTACATGACTATTATACCTCAGGCTCACTCTAAAATCCAAATGCATTGGTCCTAAAGAAACAAACTGAAAAAGCAAAAGGTGAGGAGTCAGAAGAGCTGCCACTATCTGGGACTAGATCAGGCTAGCAAGACTTTCACACCTTGGCCTCTTCTTCTGTCAAGTGATTAGCATCTGCCTCACCCACCCCTCACATGTCAGACAACTGTGAGAATCACATAAAAAGATACAAAGGAAATCTCTCTGGAATCCTATGAAGAAAGTACTGTACAAACAAAAAGTATTATTATTATGAGCATACCTTACTTATTCAAACTTCCAAATTCTGGCATGCATAACTATCCAGACCCTAGAAAAATTTTAAAAGCCTTTGGGCAACACATTGTTTTTACTGAATGCTGTAGTCTGTGGTGCAGGAGAGGAATTACCCTCTGCAGGCCAAAGGGTGTAAAGTGAGGCAGTAAGAGCCTGATGGGACCGAGAAGCAGCAGAGAGCCAGTGTGAGGCGCGTGTTCTGGGCTGAGCACCAACGTGCACTGTGGGTCAGTTCTTAGGCCCACCCGGGAAGCTTCTGCCCCCTTCATCCTGGCTACTCAAGCTTATGAATCATGAAAGAAAAATTATAATTTAATTTCAAAATTATATTCCCAACCGCTATTTTGCAACTTTGGAGTTGTTGTCCTAACAATAACATTGTTATCCAGTTAGGCGGATTTCATTAGTTTGTTTTTACTGTTTTTGTGTCTGAGATCTAAGGGATCAACATAACAAATTTTATATAAAAAGACTAAATTGTTTTATAAATGCTGCGTTTTTCCAAAAGTCAAAATACAACCATTCCCTAATAAAATAGAGTTAATAGTCAGGCTACAAGACAAGAGGAGGCATTAAAATTTTAAGCCACCTTCTGTTAATGGTGGTTTTAATGGATTCTCTTTGATGACAAAATAACTAAGTTTTTGGAGTTCCAAATAATATATCTGGAAGTAGCTTTGCTCTTCACAGTTCCTGCATTTGAGGAGCTCAGTCCCGAGGGGAAGAAGTGGGAGGGCAGATCGAAGAGCTTCTTTTACTGGAGTCCTAGTGTCCCCACGTACAGGGGTACAGGGCGTCAACTCTGTGCCAGGAATTTGTATCCACAACCAAGCCCAGCAATCATGGGGTCACATTAGCAATGGGCAGGGTTCAGTTTCTCAGAAACAAAGAACAGGTTGAGCCCTGCCTTCCTGCTCCCTGGAGGGCCTGCATTCAGGCAGAGTGGGAAGCCAATCTCCATGGGGAAGTGGTCCCAGCAGGCCCTGTCTATGGCAGGCTCCACAAATACTGCTCTCAGCCAGGTACGGAGACTCACACCCGTAATCCTAGCTCTTTGGGAGGCCAAGGCAGGAGGATTGTTTGAGGTCAGGAGTTCGAGATCAGCCTAAGAAAGAGTAAGACCCCCCCCCCATCTCTACAAAAAATGGAAAAATTAGCCAGCCGTGGTAGCACATGCCTATGGTCCCAGCTACCCGTGAGGCTGGGGCAGGAGGATCACCTGAGCCCAGGAGTCTGAGGTTGCAGTGAGCCGTGATGACTCCACTGCACTCTAGCCTGGGATGACACAGTAAGACCCTGTCTCAAAAAAAAAAAAAAATTGCTACTCTCTCTTCTGCTTCTCCATCTGTGCATTGGTCCTTCCCTGTTATTTAGTTAACTTCAATTCAGCAAAAGGAGTAAAAAGATCCTGTGTTGGCCTTAAGACCAAGATTTGTTCTCCAATCTAGCTTTACCATTATTAAAGCTGATGTTTTGTCCCTTATTGATCTGAGGTGCAATAAGTTAAAAATCAAAGGGGAAGATGAAGGGGGTTGTCCCCCACAAACCTTTAACACTTACCAGTCTGGACAAGGCTCTGGATCCAGCATAGATTATACCCACAAACAGCACCGAAGCAGGAAGCCACGTCAAAACATTAGATCTGGAAAGAAGGAAAAAAGTCATAATACTTTTGCCACTTATGTTAAAATAAGACCTAGCTGGCAGGGTTGACCCTTCAGATGCACCAGCTACAGCAACAGCGTTTGTCTAAACATCCCTGACCTACCTGTTAAGTGAGATGTGGTCTTCATCCACTGAGAGAGTGACAGAGGCAGATGAAAGCCATCCTACCTATAGCCGTGTCATCTACTGACTACCTAACGTTACTGATCCCAGAGTTAGAAATGGAAAAGGCCTTGCTGCTGGTTCGGAGAGAGAACAGATCTGATTTTTTTCAAAGGCAGTGAACATCACTCTTTGAATTTTAAGTAGTTTAGAAGTTTTGAATCCATGCCAAATAATTAAAAATTGAAAAGGCTATTTACCTAGGCAATATACCAAACAGTTCCATGCAATCACAAGAAAAAGAACCACAGTATCAAAGGACTAAGTTAAAAAATAAGAAAAAGAATCCTATAATAGCACTTAAGCTGGATGGCCATATGCTGACTCCTTCAACCATTAACCTGGCATTGTTGGAATTCTGCTTCAGGGAATCTTCAAGGACTTCTAAAGGGCACATTTCTTGGATTCAATTGTGGCCATACCAGTTTAAAATCAAAATCCCAGTTTTCACGTACAGTGCATATCACTGAGGTTGCAACTTGTATCCCCCATCAGTTAGAAATGCATTCGATCTACTAATTCGAGTTCTCAGAGTTATCCTAATAATGAATAAAAACAAATGAAACCATTCCAGCAGGATATAACATAATAATCCCAACTAACTCAATGAGCTGCTCTCCTGGAATGGTGCCTACTCAAGAAATGTTCATTGCTAATTCTATTAGTATGGGCAGGCACTCCATCCAAGATCAGACCTGATTTGTACAACTTCCCAGGAAGTCTAGCTTTTAAATGTTTCCAGTCTCTAGTAAGGGTCTTTGACCCTTACTTGCTGTATAACTTCATTCAGCAAATACGACAACAACTAACAAGTCGCTGAGAATTATTATTAATAGCAATATCACAGGCAACATTTATTGAGCACCTGCTACAAACCAGGCACTGTGCTAAATGTTTTATTTTTTTAAAATTTTTTTGAGACAGAGTCTCACTTTGTTGCCCAGGCTAGAGTGAGTGCCATGGCATCAGCCTAGCTCACAGCAACCTCAATCTCCTGGGCTCAAGTGATCCTCTTGCCGCAGCCTCCCGAGTAGATGGGACTACAGGCATGTGCCACCATGCCCGGATGATTTTTTGTATATATATTTATATACAAAATTATTTATACAAATATATTTATATACCATATATATATATATGGTCGATTAATTTCTTTCTATTTTTGGTCTCGCTCTTGCTCAGGCTGGTTTCAAACTCCTGACCTCAAGTGATCTGCCCGCCTTGGCTTCCCAGAGTGCTAGGATTATAGGTGTGAGCCACCGCGCCCGGCCACTAAATGTTTTATATCCTGTGTCTTTTTAAAATCTGCACAACAGGCCGGGCGCGGTGGCTCACGCCTGTAATCCTAGCTCTCTGGGAGGCCGAGGCGGGCGGATTGCTCGAGGTCGGGAGTTCGAAACCAGCCTGAGCAAGAGCGAGACCCCGTCTCTACTATAAATACAAACTAATTGGCCAACTAATATATATAGAAAAAATTAGCCGGGCATGGTGGCTCATGCCTGTAATCCCAGCTACTTGGGAGGTTGAGACAGAAGGATCGCTTGAGCCCAGGAGTTTGAGGTTGCTGTGAGATAGGCTGACGCCATGGCACTCACTCTGGCTTAGGCAACAAAGTGAGACTCTGTTTCAAAAAAAAAATAAAATAAAAATAAAAAATAAAATAAAATCTGCACAACAATCTTATAAGGCAGTTATTATTATTACCACATTGTGCATATGACAAAACATAAAGAGTTTAAATAATGTGCCTAGGGTTATAACGGCTAGCAAATGGCAAAGCCAGAATGTGAATTCAGGTCTGTCAGGCTCAGACTGGACTAGAGTGCAATGGCGTCATCATAGCTCAGTGTAACTTCAAACTCCCGAAGCCCTGGCTTTTAAATACCCTTTCACACTTTGCCTTCATGGACCTCATAATCTAATGGCAGATCTGACATACAAATAGATAAGCCGCAAACACAACATGAGTCTGCTTTGGTAGCAGACCAAGCAGCTAATTAATCTGAGGTGTCTGCTCTGTTATCACAAGTCCTGCTGCAGTAACAGACGTCAGCACCCCCAACCAAAAGGTGAACAGAGGAAGGGGGTGCCATCCTCTGTCACAATGGCTCGGGAGTAACATCAGCCAATTGCTGTTCTTCCAGGACATGGCTTTCCCACGTGACACAAAACTCCCACGGATTAAGGGAGACAGGATCCAGGGGCATGGCCTGTTGTGCAGCAGAAGGAAGCCCAGAGCACAGACTGCAGGCACAGCACTGGGGAGGAAGGAAGAGGTGCACTGGGTGGAACGGCAGCTGGCCTCACGGCGGCAGGCCCAGGACTTTGGAATGCAAGGTCAGTGAGGTCCCAGACATTTGTACTCCATTCCCTCTTAAAACAAAGAAAACTGCCGAGTTATGTATTCCAATAGACATCAGAATATCTGAGTGGCCATGGATATGAGGAAAAGAAAACATGCCCAGGGAACATGTTGTATTTTAACCCTCCTACCCCAAAATACAAAGAAATGACTAGGAAGAAAAAAAAAAAAACATACACAGGGTTAGCTGGACCAAACAGACTTCTGGAAACTGCTACAGGACGGCTGAGCAAGTATCTGGCTCCAAAGATGGGACTGTGACCCAGGCATGGGAACCTGGTGCTTCTGTTCTCCAAAGTCATCTTGCTAAAGGCCAGCACAGCCAGAGTGACATGCTCTAAGGGTGGAACTTTAGACACCAGCAGAAGTGGCTGGTTGCAAAGCCCTTTCTTGGCCCTCCTGAGCACTGGTCAGTGAGACAGCTGCCTTCCTCCACCACACCCCAGCATAAAACTATAGCTGCTGTTAAGAAAAATAAATGACAGTCTGGAAAAATTGCTGCCAAAACAAGTGTGGGCAAGGCAAGTGTAAATGGGTAGGGCAAAACAGAAAAAGAAAATTAAAAACCAAGGACTCTGCTTGCGTATTGTTTCAAAGTGCCAATGTTCTCATTCCACTTTTAAGAACCTACTTCAACTGAAAATCATAGAGTATATGCTTATGTTTATGCAAGAAAAGACTTCAGGGAACACCAGTCAGCAATCCATACACAAAGGAAAACCTTACCACAAGATTGGCAAATTAATGTATATGTCTTAAATGAAAATAAATGATTCCCTGATTTATCTGACTTTCAATTCATCCACTGTCTGATAGAGTCAGATAAGGGAGCTTCTGCATATACTATTAATGTCTCCCCCACTGCCCCCAAACATACTGTAAGCTTCATAAGGGTGGGAACTGTGTACATTTTGCTCATATAAAGTAAGCGTATAATAAATACTACATTGATAAATGTTACAAAGAAGATTAAAGGACTAACTATGCTATACCACAAGGGCATCTAACCTACTCAGTGAGAATAGGAAAACTTTCCCCAAATAAGTGATGTTTGAGATGAAATCCAAAGTTAAACAGGGAACAGGAGACAGGTAGAGCAGCACTAGGGACACAACATTCCAGACATAAATATAGCAGGTGCAAAGGCCCTGTGGCAAGAAGAAATTGAAGGAAGGTAGGTGTAGCCTGAGTAGATGGAGGAATAAACCCAGGAATGGGGAGGATGTAACATGATCTGATTCACATTTTGAAATCGTTGCTCTGGCTACAGTAAGGAGAATAGTTTGGAATGGGGTTAGGAGTGGTCCATTAAGGCAGGGAAAACTGGAACAGGTTTGATTGGGGAAAATCATAAATTCAGTATTGAAAATTATGAACTCGAGATGCTTTGGGGACACTCAAGCAGAGATGTCACATAGGCAACTGGATGTAAGAGTCTGTGGATCCTCCCTTGTCCTCTAGTGAGTAAGAATGCACTGTTTACTATGTCTTGCATTTGATTTCTTGTTTCTTCATCCTTCGTTTTTGAGAATAAAACTCAAAATATATTTTCTTCAACATAATTTCTCCCTTATATTCATTAACAGCAATAACAGCTTTCTGTTGTTTAGTAAGACTCTGTCACAAACTTATTCTTCATTGCTATGGTCTGAATGTTTGTGTCCTCTCAACATTTGTATGTTGAAAAGTCCTAACCCCCTGTCGATGGTATTAGGAGGTGGGACCTTTGGGAGGTGATTAGTTCATGAACATGGAGCCCTTATGAATGGGATTAGTGCCCTTGTACAAGAGACCACGGAGAACTGCCTTGTCCCTCCCACCAGGTGAGGACACAGCGAAGTCACCATCTATGAATCGGAAAGCAAACCCTCACCAGACACCTAATCTGCTGGCACCTTGATCTTGGGCTTCCCAGCCTTCAGAACTGTGAGAAATAAATATCTGTTGTTTATAAACTACCTAGTCTATCGTATTTTGTTACAGCAGGCCACATGCACTAAACCATTATCTATTTATTCAGCACCTATTGTATTCCAATATCCTATCAAGACAGACCAAATCCTTGACTTCACGGAATTTACAAGCTGGTAGGAGAGTCAGACAATAAACAGATGGTAGCAGTCATGGGCTGAGAAAGAGGAATGAAAGGAGGGGTAGAGAACCTGCTGCAAGGAGTGTAGTCAGCCAACAGCTACATTTACATAATTGGAAGAATTATTGACACTTGCTGCTTCAGGAAGAAGGATTTGGATTTCAGGCTTACACAGTTTCCACGATGGTTACTGTGCTATCACAGAGGGGTCAGACCTTTCAATAGTTACTTGGTGCAAATAAAATTTATGACAACTGAGTTTTTCATACTTTCCTGGGTAGTGTGGAGAGAAGGTAAAGACAAGAGCCACAAATGCAGTGCTCCTTTGTGCTTTTGTCATCTCTTGAAATATATTTGAAAA